TCATCTGAGAGCCATTAGATCAAAAAATATCAACGACTCTGATTTGCAAGCATGTGACACCTTTGATTTTTTTTGATCTAACGGCTCTCAGATGAGATGTCAAAAGATCCTACCTTTATATATATAGGAAAAAATATTTCTGCAGCCACTTTAGATAAACTTATCTACAACTACCCATTTATAACTATGTTCTCCCGGGAGAACATAGTTATAACATTAAAGTTACTTTTTTCTCTCTCTCCACGTCAGCAGATAGATTCTGAAAAATAAACGAGGAGATAGAAAAAAAAAAAAAAAACTTTTAATGTATGTTCTCCTCGGAGAACATAGTTCTAAAGCGTAACTGTAGATAAGCTTATATAAAGTGGCTGCAGAAATGTTTACCCCATATATATATATATATATGTGTGTGTGTGTTTTTCTCATGTTGCATGAGAAAATAAACTCTTTCTACACACACCATAAAAAGGTGTGCCACTCATTTTTTTTTAAATAGGTGGGTCCTACACTTAATGTATCTATGACATGATATTAGAATTCTCCTACAACATGAGATTTACTTTTTCCATATATATATATATATGAAAAAAATATTTCTTAAGTTATTTGAGATATATTTATCTCCGACTAGCCCAAAATTACGTCATTTTGTTTATTTATTTTCTTATGTTCATTGATTCACCTTTGAATGGTTGTGATTTTCTTTCTCTCTCTCTTCCTTTATCACCATTGATCCATCTTTGTCCGATTATGATTTACTAGCCGGAGATAAAGGTATCTCAAGCAGCTTGAGAAACGATAAGCTATATATGGGAAAAACATTTCTCAAGCAGCTTGAGATAAATTTATCTCCAGCCACCCCAAAATTACGTCAATTCATTTATTTATTTCCTTATATTAATTGATTCACCTTTGAATGGTTATGATTTCCTTTTTCTCTCTCTTCCTTTATCACCATTGATTCATTTTTGTACGATTATGATTTAGTAGCCGGAGATAAAATTATCTCAAACAGCTTGAGAAACGATAAACTCATATATATATATATAGGTAGGATCCTTTGACACCGGTGTCAAATTTAAAATTTGACACCTCATCTTAGAGCCGTTAGATCAAAAAAGATCAATGGTGTTACATGCTTACAAATCAGAGTCGTTGGTATTTTTTTTTCTAACGACTCTAAGATGAGGTGTCAAATTTTAAATTTGACACCGGTGTCAAAGGATCCTACCTCATATATATATATATATGGTAAACATTTCTACAGTCACTTTAGATAAGCTTATCTAAAGCCACCATTTTTAACTATGTTCTCACGGGAGAACATAGTTATAATATTAAAGTTGCCTTCTTTTCTCTCTCTCCTCATTTACTTTTCAGAACTTGTCTGCTGACGTGGAGATAAAAAAAAAATCAACTTTAGTGTAATAATTATATTCTCCCGAGAGAACATAGTTAAAAGTGGTGGTTGTAGATAACCTTATTTTTTTTTTGATAAATGTAGATAACCTTATTTAAAGTGACTGTAGAAATACTTTTTTCTATATATATATATATATATATATATAGCTTTCTTATTCTCCTTTCACATAAGATAGTTATCTTATGTTGTAGAAAGAAAATGGGTAAGTCTCACCATTACAGGAAAAAAGAAAGAGGGGAGGTGCGAAAATCGAAGTGAGAGAACATGAGAGAAACTATCTTATGTGAAAGGAGAGTAATACTTCCTATATATATATATATATATATATATATATATATATATATATATATATATATGAGAAAAATATTTCTTATGCAGCTTGAGATATATTTATCTTCGTCATTTTATTTATTTATTTTCTAATATTAATTTATTCACCTTTGAATAGGGAAGGATCCGTTTATGGGGAAGGATCCATTTATAAACTTTTTTTATTAAATTAGACTAAGTATGACCGGTCATACACTTTTGATTGAAGTATGACTAGTGTATACACTCTTGATTGAAGTATGACTGTGTAGTTTGTAAACAAAAAGTTTGTAAATATAACATTTCCATATATATATATATATATATATGGAAATGTTATATTTACAATTTTTTTGTGTACAAACTACACCATGTACTCCCGGGAGAACACTAGGTTACACTATGTTCTTCCAGGAGTACATATTGTAATTTGCAAAAATTTGTAAAAAAAGTTTGTAAACGGAACATTCCCCTATATATATATAAGTATTTCTCCAGTGAGCCCATAATGATGTTGTTTTGGGCTACAATAGATTAGAATTATAAAAACACCTTGATTTCTGTCACAAAACAACGTAATTTTTTGCTCACCGGAGATAACTTATCTCCATTGACTGGAGAAATACATTACCCATATATGTAAGACTAATATGTCTTACATCACATCTCAACCGTTGATTTCCGTGTATCTAATGGTTATAATTTAGGAAGTCATACGAATTAATTAATCATTAATTACACTATAAATATCAACCGATGATTTTCATCCATCAACAGTTGAGATGTAGTGTAAGACTTATTAGTCTTACATGTGTAAAAAGATCTTGCCCAATATATATATATATATATATATATATATATATATATGGGTCAGTGTAAGTTACACTCTCCATCTTGTGAGTTGATTCCACTTATATCTAAAGACTCTAATTTTTTAGTAATATGAGCCATTGGATACAAGTGAATCAATGGTCAAGATTGAGTGTAAGACTTATAATTCTTGCACCGGTATAATAATATCCTATATATATATATATATATATATATATATATATATATATGTATGTATATATATACTTTCTCTATTTCATTTTTCTTATATATAAACGAAGTGTGAAAACTTAAATAGGGGAATGAAGCAATTAGTTTGAGCTAAGTGTAATTAAAAAGTCGGAACTCAATTAATTAAATTAAACTCACGTTAAATGCTTCTTAAAATGTTGAATCATGAATGTCATGATTGGACTACAAAATCATTGACAATATTTAACTATAAATAGTGCTTATAATTTGAATTATTAACACTATTGAGTTAATACTTAATGACAATTATAATATATATATATATATATATGGATTAATGTTTATCATTTTAAAGAATATATAATTGTGTTTTTTTAGTCAAAAGTATTGTGTTTTATGATGAAAGAAACAAAAATTATGTTGGGAGAAAGTGAGAATTTTTTCTAATTTAAATATTAAATAAAAACTATTATCTTTAATTAAATTAACTGTACTTTAAAATAATAAATATTTTTCTTATATATAAGTGAAAACCTCGAGTATATCGTAGATGCATGGCCAACAGCATTTTGGTGAGATGAACAGACGAACCAATCAGTGAACCTCTTAAATTCTACAATATAATCAATTTTTACGAATAAAACGTTATGAATGAATATAACCCAACAACTGGTCCGGTTGTTTTGGGATAAAAATCGGTGTGTTACGCTTTTTTAAAATATGGGTTTAATATAGAATGTAAAAATATAATAATATAAAAATTAAGTGGTTGTGAAATGTATCATTTGGAATTTGATTTGATTCTATCTCGAATCATAATATAGTAAAAATATTATTTCATCTTATAATAGTAGAAAACAATTTTTTTATTAGAAATATGTAGGCCAAGAGTGGTTACCAGTAGGGGTGAAAGTGGGCTGGGCTGGGCCGAGTTTTGCCCCAAAAAGCCCAAACTTACGTCAAAAAATTTCAATTTGGCCCGGTCCAAGCCTAGTATGATTCTAACTGTTAGTCTGGTTTGGCCCGTTTATGAAAAAAAACAAATGGCCTGGCTTGGCCCGTTAGCCTGTTAATTTTTAACTTCCAAACAGAACCATGAATCAACTTTACAAAGTACTCAAATTCTGTTGCTACACCAAAAATCATAATTTCAACGTCCAAACAAAATCATGAATCATAACAAAACTAATACAATATGCATTTAAGTCATTTTCAAAAGCAAAATGCTCAAATTAAATAACATATATTTCATCAGATCCAACAAACAAATTCATTCTATGTAAATTAAAATAACTACATCAATCCAACAAACATATCTTGATGCTTGTAGTAAGTATAACCTCTGCCAATTTTTTTTTAATATATTCATATACACAATCTAACATGTTAAGATGTTGGTTCCTCCTTTATAAGAAATAAAGTAAGATTTCTATTAAAATATAATCGAATATGATTAAGTTATAAATAATTGTAATTGATTAAATTTATATCATTTTTTTTCTTCAAGGCATACTTACTCTATTTTATTTTATTTAAAATAAATAGTACAATATAGGCCGGCCTGTAGGCTTATAGGCTCGGTCTTTTGAAAGTGGGCCTACGACCTTCTTTTTATTAAATAGGTTTTTTTAAGGCCCGAACCCGGTCTATTATACAAAATATACTAGGTCAGATCTAATTTGATGTAGACCGAGCCGTAGGCCTCTGTAGGTCAGCCTGACCTAGTTTCACCCCTAGTTACTGGTACCACTTACCACCATTTTGCGATGTTATTGTGGGCTTTGAGCGGTTAGCACCATTTTTTTTTTTGGAGACAGGTTAGCACCATTTGAAAGCAAGTTATAATGAATCACAATGATTAATGGGCTAAGACTGGTTACTAGCATTTTGCGACGTTATTGTGGGCTAGCTAGTATCGAGTTTTGTATCTTTTGGAAGATATCAGTCCAAGCCTTGGCTAGTCTTATTTTGACATTGGAATTTGGAGTCATCTCTTCTGAAACTCTGGTTTTTTTATGATGAGGGAGAATTATTCTCGTTATCTCTTTTGAAAGCAATATCATCTATTCAATGATATTTAGATTAATATTTTTCATATTATAGAAAATAATTTTTACATATACATAAAAATATGTGGATTCATGTGGGGTTATGTGAGGAGAAGTTAAAAAAAAAAAACATAAATCACATACTCTCTTTTTTTTTCGGTAAATAAAAGGGCAAAAGCCCCAAACAAACAAAAAAACTAAGCAACAACTACAGCACGATCTCTACCCACAGAAGAGAGATCTGTTAAATACAACCTAGAAACACCAGAAGGAGGAGCCTCACAAGACACGAAAGAAACACCCTCTTCAGCATCCAGAATATAGTTAGCCATCCAATCTGCACAAGAATTGGCCTCTCTAAAAATATGGTTCAACTTTATACTCTAATCTTTAAGTAACCATGTCCGTATTCGAGAAATTAAATGACTCTCACGGACTGCTGCACCATCTTTGGTGAGCACAGAGATAACACTCTTTGAATCACTCTCAACTTCAATATTATGAAATCCTTCACCCCACGCAATCTTTAAACCTCGAAGGATTCCCCTCAATTCAGCCTTGAAAGCTGAACAGACACCAAGTTTACAAGCAAAACCATGTAACCACCGTCCAGATGAGTCACGAATGACACCCCCACAAGCAGCAGGACCTGGATTCCCTCTAGCCGTCCCATCAGTATTAAGCTTTACATACCCCTCTATTGGAAATTGCCACGAAATTTTCATAACAACAGTCCTCTTACCTAACTGATGGCTCTTAGACGACTGAAAAACATGATCAACCTCTGTCACAAGATTACGAATGATCCAATATATGTATATATGAGATAATATTATCTACTATAACATGAAAATATAAATCCAATAATATTTTATTTTATTTTATATTCAACGGATCAAAACCCCCAAGCAAAGAACATTGGTTAAAGTGTTTTTTTATTAAAAAAACAATTTAAAAATAATATGATAATTATATAAAATTGTTTTAGTGATTTTAAAAGTAAGAGATCAAATGATTTGGTATTTGAATAAATTATTCGGATAAAAGTAAAATTAGTAAATACAAATTTAAAATAAAGATGAAATTGAAAAAATAAATATAATAACTCCAAAAAATTAATATATATTTTAAAAAAAATTCCTCAATGTCCGAACAAATACTAAGGATGAGACACGGCCATGCTCAATCGCATCTTTCCGAGGGAGGCTAGTAATGAAGAAGGAAGCTCATCATATTGCCCCAAATACGTTGGACATGTTATAAACAATTCAGTAAAAAATTAATTTAATTCAAAAGTTTAAGTTATTAAATGATAATTGTAAATAATCAATTCAACCCAAAAGTTTAAGTTTTTGGGTGAGGCTACATTAATGATTTTATATATCTCAACAATAATTTTTTTTTAATGATTTATATTATTCTATAACACATTCTTTCACGCAAGAGCTATTTGAGCTTGAAACGTTCATATTGCATGAACTTAATTTTTGATTTGTCTTGTACTTTTTTTTAATTCCACTAGAAAATGGGGTGACGAGGATTGAACTTATAACCTCATAGGTCACTTAAGCTATGTTATATAAAAAATTAATTCAATCCAAAAACTTATTATAGGGAAAAATATTTCTTCAGTCACCGGAGATAAAGTTATTTCTAGTGAGCTCAAAACGACGTCGTTTTGGATTATAAGATTAAAAAATTATCGTCGTTTTGGGTTATAAGATTAAAAAATTATAACGATAAGACTAATATAACCCTACAATATATTAAATTACAAAAATATCTCAATTTTTTCTCAAAACAATGTTGTTTTAGGCTTACTGGAGATAACTTATCTCCATATTGACTAGAGAAATACTTTACTCATTATTATATGATATTTTTTTAATGATTTATATTATACTATAATAAATTCTTAATTAGTTGGCTTAATTAATACAGATGGTACTTCACAGGAAAAAATGATGAAATAATTAAATAAGAAAAAAGAGAAAACAATAATATAAACTGAAGATATCTAAACTGAGTAATGGTGTCTTTTACAACTTTAGAATGATGATTTTATATACATGTTATATTTAAAAATATAATTTTAAACATTATTTTTTTTATGGGACATGTTATATTTACAAACTTTTTTATTTACAAACTCTTACAAATTACATTATTTTCTTCTGAAAGAACATTAATTATACTATCTTCTCCCGAAAGAAAATAGTGTAATTTGTAAAAATTTGTTCAAAAAATTTAATGATCCTTTCCCTTTTTGGATATTACGAACATGGCCTGGGTTCAATCAGGAGAAACATATTGATTAGTGACCGTTGTTTTGGACCCGCGTGAGACACCTGGAAATTTGTTGACTTATATGAGTTTCTAGACTCATCCTATAATAACGAAAAATAACTTTTACTTAAAAGAGGATAAATTCCCGTAGTCAAGGCTTATTAAAAATGTCTTGTGGGCATTTTGTATAGAGTTCGCTTTTTGTCATGTCACATGATAAGATTATTTTTTTGCACACATAAATCAAGTGTGAGTCTCACATTTAAAAAAAAAGTCAAACCAAAATCAAGATACGACATCATATTCTCAAAATACATTATCAGATCCTTGTTACAGGAATGAACAATATGATTCCTACAAGCTGATTGTTATATTTCCATTTAGTTCAAACTTCAAACTCCTCTCAAATCAATACAAGTAAGAGACTTATAAGAAGTGACACCACTCCTAAATTAAGTATTTGAGTAATCTCTGCGTGTATATCATTTTCTCTTTGTTGTCTGTTCTAAACAATATTGTATGATTTATCTCTTTAGCTTAATAATATATTAAAAAAAGGCTATAGAAAAATAATACGGAGAATAGTAGAAGAAATTCATATCTTTTTAAAGGAAGGTTTTACTTATAATTCTTTTTTTTTTATAATCTCTTACAACCATATCTTAACACTGTTGATTTCTGTTAATGAACGATTATCATTTATTGTGAATTAATAATTAATTAATGAGTTTAGTTTGTGAAAATAATAACCGTTGATTGGCGAAAATTAACGGTGTTAAGATATAGTTGTAAGAGGTTGTAAAAAAAATATTGTAAGTATAACCTTCCTCATCTTTTTACAAAGAAGATGATAATTTTCATAAAAAATAAGCAATGATGACATGGACACATGGTGTAGTGTAAAAATAATTTTCAATTTTAATGTTTGTATATAAAAAAGTGTCTGTTATCTCATATTATATACACAAAGAGGTGTTAGTCCCACAAAAAAAAATAAGGAAAAAAATAGAAAAAAATATTTGTCCTTTTAAAGGATATAACTTTGTATCATTTTAGATGTTAACCATTGATTTTCGTCAATCAACGATTAGAATTTATTGAATTTTATTATGAATTACTAATTAATTAATAAGTTTGACTCATTAAATTCTAACCGTTAATTGACGAAAATCAACGGTTAGATTCTAAAATGAAACAAAGTTATATCCTTAAAAGGACAAACGTTTTTCTCAAAAAAATATGTGGGTCTCACCTTTTTATTTTTATGAAATGACACAACTTGTATTATTTTAAGTGATACACATTTTTCTCAGTACTACATTTAAGAGGGGTTTAAAATCTTAATCCTAGACCCGTCCCGAATCAGATTAGTTGTGAAGCAATGAACCGATTGAAATATTTTCACACAAAAAAATGGTACACGTTTTTTCATTTTATAAAATACTAAACAATTGTGAAATTAAAATAATATAATAGGTGATTACTTGACTCTAAAATATGAATACTCAATTTTATTACATAAGAGTGAATTACATGTTTAAAAATAATTTTAATTAGTATTATAGGCTTTTTCACCTTTTTTTCCTTATTAATTAATTAATAACTATTTTGTCCCTGATTCGAAACTATCTATCAATCTGCCCCTCTTTAATCGACTACCTTGCATTTTTAATCGACTAAATGACCAAAACAGACAAAAATAGCTGCTGGGAGATTTAGTCGACTAAATCTCCTTATTTAGTCGACTAAATCTCCTTATTTAGTCGACTAAATCTCCTTATTTAGTTGACTAAATCTCCATATTTGACAACAAAGAAAAATAAGTCAGTATGATTTTAATCGATTAAGTAGGGAGATTTAGTCGATTAAATCTCCCAACAACCATTTAGTCGATTAAAAATGCAAAGCAGTCGATTAAAGAGGGACAGATTGGTAGATAGTTTCGAATCAGGGGCAAAATGGTTATTAATTAATTAATGAGGGATAAAATGATCAAATAGCCCAATATTATATCTACGCTAGATTTATTGTGTTAAGATTATTTCTAATAAAATTTAGATTATAAATCATGTTTATCTAAGATCACGTTTTCAAAATGTGCTTAAAACTTATAATCCTCATATTTGTTTATTAGTAGTATAAAATCAAGAAGTTATACTAGGATTATCAGGCATGGGAAATAAATTACTTTTACTAAGATTATATTAATTATAAATTGAGGGTTAGCACAACCGGTTGAACATCTCTTCTACATTAGTTGTGACTTCTCTTTTATTCAATTTCATCTTTAATGCTATTAAATATTTGGTTAATTGATCCATTTTACTCTAATGAAAACAAGAAAAAACACACACATGATTAAATAACAAAGAAAAATACAAGAGGACAAACGATAAAATATTAAAGCATGATGTTTATAGATTTTTCCCTTACAACAATTTTTTTGAAACTTAATATAGTATATGATATGAAACTAAATAAGCTAATGAGATTCATGAGTAAGGCAAACAATGAGTGTTATGTTCAGCATCCACTAAATTTTTTTTCTCCAAAAAATAAAATAAAAGGGGATAGTCTGATGTTATAGGAAGCTCATTATCTCATGCTATAGAGATAAAGTATATGTGGCTCACTCTTTAAAATATATAAATAAAGATTTTAAAGTTATTAAAGATAACTTTATTTAATGTTTATCAAAATACACATATAAAAGTGTGTGAGACCCATGTTTTTTTTTGTCTCTTCGTATGAGTCTACATGGACCCCATATATTATTGGGTTCGCTTTTTCTGGAGTTACTGCAGATAAATTATCTATAGTAAGCCCAATAGGATATCATTTTGGGACAGAAATCATGGTGTTTTTGTAATTTTAATTTATTTCAGTGTTATTATAGTCTTTATAGTTATAATTTTTTAACATTTCAATCCTAAAATAACGTCGTTTTAGGAGTAAATGCAGATAAATTATCTGGATTAACTGCAGAAATATTTTTCTGTATATTATTTTTTTTGTATTTTGGTGAACATTAGATAAAGTTATCTAAAATAACTTTAAACTTTAAATCCATAAATAAATGTTAGCATAATTTTTTGGGAAAGGATATTGTGACAGCCAAGTTGTGTTACTATCAAGTGACTACCAATCAATCTCACCGTTAGATCGATTATGTTGATCCAACGGTTATATTTATTTACATCTTTGTATGGTCATGATTCTCCATATTTAAAGTGAAAGCATTAAATATGGAAAATCATAACCATACAAAGGTGAAAATAAATATAAAGTATTAAATTTGGAGAATCATGACCATACAAAGATGAAAATAAATATAACCGTTGATTAATATAATCGATCTAACGGTAAGATTGATTGGTAGTCACTTGGTAGTAACACAACTTGGTTGTCACAATATCCTTTCCCTAATTTTTTATGTATAAGTAGGAGAGATATGTTATTTCATGTAACATAAAAAAAAACATACCTCTTTAATATAACACCGATAAATATAAAAAAAAAACATATAAGATGTTAAATAGAATATCACCTTACTAACTTGTTAAGATTTACTTTGTAGTAAAAAAAGTTTTTTAAAACCCTTGTAGTTTAATATTTTAAACCTTATTCTCTGTATTATTTTTCTTCTAAATCACTTGTTTTCTTTGGGTGTCCATGATGACTTTTTCGGAATGAGTTTATTTTTTTATTTTTGATCCCGGGAACAAAAAGGATAGAAAATTTGTTTGGTAAAATCGGTTTATTTTTTTGTTTTTGGATGAACCGGTTAATTTTTTGTGTTGGGGAACAAAAATAAATTCAAAAAATTTCTACTTTTGTTTCTGGGAACTAAATGAGAAAACACTTATCTCTGAATCACACTCCACCACCACTACCATCATTCTGACACGATCACCGCCACCATCGCCTCTACTGTTGTCACCACCACTACTACGATGCCACCGCCACCATCACTACCACATGCCACCATCACAACCACCGTCACCGCCACCACCACCATTATCGTCACTGCCACCACCACCGTACCATCCCCACCAACACCACCACTACCATCGCCATAGCAAGCAAGCCACCACTACAACCACCGTCACCAACCACCACCACGAACATCTTAGCCACTGTCATTACCACTACCACCATCACTCCCACTACCATGCCACCACCATTGTTGCCACTACCACCACCGCCACCATTATCGCAGTCACTGCCGTCACTACCACCTCCACCACCACTACCATCACCACACCACCGCCACCACCACCACGCCACCGTCGCTGCCGCCGCCACCTCTACCACACCATATGGAAAGGAAAATGATGATCCAAAAATTTTTTATGCTTAATAAAAATTATTTTTTATTATATTATTTGTTGTGTTATCAAACACAATTCTGATTCTCGGAATAAAAATAGAACATATTTTCAAACATATTTTTTTTCCCAGAAACTGTTCCAAGGCACATAAATAGAAAAAAATTATTTATTTTCAGAAATAGTACCATGGAACAGAATAGTTGTCATGCACACATTTTATTTATTTTTACTCTTGACAGAGATAATATTGACACATTAATCTAATATTTAATAACATTAAAATTAGATTTGACGGAAAAAACACTAGAGCATTTTATATTTTTATTGTTATTTTTAACTTTTTCCGAAAATATTTTAATTGGAAATTTATATAAAAAGCACCCTTTCTTCAAGTTTTGTTTAGCCAATTGCTCCTTCTTCTGGTCAATGACTCTCTCTGTTCTCTAATCTGTCGCTCTGCAACAATTGACAGCAACACTAACACTACTTCATCCATCATCGACCAATCATTTCATTTTCCCTGCATAATCGATCAAACTCAACACTGATTCTCCTTAACTTTCTCGAAACAACATAATTTTTTATCCAAAAAAAAAAAAAAAAAGCACACAAGATGGCTAGATGTTTCAGCTTCACTGCTTCGCGTGACAGGTGCTTCCGCTACTCCTTCTCGAACGCGGGTCTCAAATCCACCACCACAGATCTCGGCGATGGCACCATTATGCATTGCTGGGTCCCCAAGACCCACAACGATTCCAAGTCTTCCCTCCTTCTCATCCACGGTTTCGGAGCCAACTCAATGTGGCAGTGGAGCGAGTTTATTTCCCCACTCACACACCGCTTCAACGTCTACGTTCCAGACCTCGTTTTCTTCGGGGAATCCTACACGACCCGACCCGAAAGATCCGAATCATTCCAGGCCCACTGCGTCATGGGTCTCCTTGAGGCTCACGGGGTCCGGAGAATGAGCGTTGTCGGCATAAGCTACGGCGGGTTCGTGGCGTACAGCATGGCGGCGCAGTTCCCGGAGAGTGTGGAGAAGGTTGTGCTGTGTTGTGCTGGGGTGTGCTTTGAAGAGAAGGACATGGATGAAGGGATGTTTAAGGTGAAGAGTGTTGATGAAGCTGTGAGTATTTTGCTTCCGCAAACGCCAGAAAAGATGAGGCAGCTTCTGCAGCTCACGTTTGTTAAGCCTATCAAAGTCATGCCATCTTGTTTCATCAATGATTATATTGATGTAAGTGGTTTCTCTTGTTAAAACTTGATTTTCTTATGTCTGTGAAAATTGCTAGTTTTTTATTTTGTTATTTTTTTTAACTGCCTCTGAAATTGGTTCTGTTTTAGGATAATAGAGTGTTAATAGGGGGATCGGTATAATTTTTTACCTTTCTTTTATATTATGTTTAAGATTACTGAATAGTAAATAGTTTGAACTTTGTCTTATTGTGTCAATTGGTCTGAATCTGATTCCGACTGGTTTGGTTTTTCAATTTTATATTATTTCTCATTTCTCGATCCGCAAAATATGCCTAGAAAAGATAAAAGTATGTTCCTTTCCTGGCTTCACATAATTCGCGTGGATTGTATTTCTTCCTGATTATATGATGCTTGATATCTAAATGTCTTAGGTGTCAATGTTTCATCTTAGATTTCACCACCACGGTGCTGAAGAGAGTAAAACTATTACTTAACAGAGGAAGAACAATAATAGGACTATATGGATCTAAAGGCTTTAGGGCCATATAGTTATTTTCAGACTAAATCTTGTCATCAATTTCACATTAATAATTAAAAGTTCAATCAACTAGTTATTTGGGCTATTCTTTGTGCACTAGATGGTTGGTTAGTTGTATTATCCCATTTGATCTGTAACACTTGGATCGGAGAAAGGTTTATCTCTTTTTCCGTTGTCCTTTTGACTGAAAATAAGCTGGGGCAGTTTGTATATTGTGTCATTGACGTGGGTTTGCCAACTTAACCCGAAATTTGTTGCTGAAACTGGTTTTACTGGCAGGTGATGTGTACGGAAAACTTCCAGGAGAAGAAAGAACTAATTGAAGCATTACATAAGGATAGAAAACTGTCTGATCTTCCTAAGATAACCCAGGTTTTTCTTAATGCGGACTTTACATTATGAGTTAATTTCACCATATTTCGCAATCTTGCATTTTGTAACTTTTTACAAGGCATAACTTTTCAATGGTGCAGCATACACTAGTAATTTGGGGAGAACAGGACCAGGTATTTCCACTGGAATTAGCTCACAGACTGAAAAGGTGATTTTAAGTAATTTTAATACTCTATTGATTTTATTTTCCAAACATTTAGGTCCGTAAATACGTTGGGGTTATAACTTTGAGACGAAACTACAGCAGTCCCTTATCCAGCTTTGTTGACTTATATCTTGAGGTTTTGGAAAAGACACCAAGTGAAGTAGTCTTCATCTAGATATCAAATCAGTATAACAAAAAAACAAAAATGATATTTTTATTTTGTTTTGCACGCACTTGATTATGTTTCAACTTTAAATTTCATTTTTTTTCTGCTGTGTAGGCTTCTGGGAGAGAAGGCACAGCTAGTTGTTATTAAGAATGCAGGGCATGCACTCAATGTAGAGAAGCCCAAGGAGCTTTACAAGAATTTTAAATCCTTCCTCATTGATCCCATTACTCCATCTTTGCAAGAAAACCATAGTAATGGTAATGGTCGCAAGGTGGACTAGCAGTGTCAAGCTAGAGAAATGGAAGAGATTTTCAGCATTATGGATATGTTTGTGTATCAATTTATCACAGTTATCAGCCATGTGGTATTTTTTTCTGGGATAGGATGGAGAAGGTGTAGTTTGCAAAACCGGTTCTCTGCAGGGAAAAAGAAAGAGTGCATCATCTGCCAATTGAAAGGATGTAGATGAGCATCAGAAAATACTATTATAGCTAACGAAACAGGGATTACATGTGTAAGTAATATATGAGCTGGAGTATGTATTTGAAATTGGACAATTACAGTGTGTATGCATTTCAAATGTTGTTTGTTTGTCTCCATGCTTAAACATACCATTTTATTTGGATATTCATTTGGAAAAAAATAGCATAAAATCGTATTATAGTGCTAATTGTCAATAGTCAATTAGTCACTGTCCTATTTGGCAGTTAAAAGGGAGAGAAAAAGAAAGGAAACCGAATAGAAGGGAGAAGATTCAAGAAGAAACAAGGAATAAAGTGAAAGGTTAATAAAGAACCCTTTTGGGCCTTTGGCCTCCTTTATGCACATTCTCGCTCACCCAAAGCAAACTGTGACATTCTCAAATTTATTTAAGGGTAATAGTTTTTTCATGTAGTATAGATAATAATTATCTCCTACTGATTTATTTGTATAAGTGGGGTCTACTTTCAAGTGAAGAGAAAAAAAAAGTAAAGTGGGATCCATATTGAATTTGTGTGTGTAGGAGATAAATTTTTTCTTATGTAACATAAGAATAATAAATCTCTTTATTTAATACTACTCAACAACCTCTTTTTTTTGGTTAAATATTCTAAAATATAAAACCTATCCATTTTTGTTTTTAATCTGAATAAAACATATTCTTTTGAACAGATAAAAAAAAAACTTATTCTTCCAAAAATTATTTTTATTAGAAGTTGTTTTGTATTACATTAGTTATACTAACTATATTTACAAACCTCTAATAGAAATAAGTAACAAAAAATGTTCACATATAATAATAATAATAATAATATAAAATCAATAAATTCACAAAAATAAAAAAAGGAATAAATCTTAAACATACCAACTATGTTTTACCTAAAAATATATTTTACTCCAATTACTTGAATTCCAATTACTAAAAATATCCACAAATACAACAACAAATATAGGAATGGATGCTCAATACCTTTATTCCTTTCGTTTAAATCACTTTTCTAAAGCAACTTATGCGCATTTAAAAAGGGCTGACAATGCCCTCCACTGAATGTCTTAACAGGAGCTAATAATCAACACAGCAACATCAGCCCCTGATCACACTAAGCTCGAAATGATACCAGCCAAAATGGAACTCCAAACATACACAGCTGCTAATCGTTCACAGAAAAGATGATTAATGACACGGGCATAAACATAACTGCAACATTTTTTTTTTCTAGAGAGAAAGAAGATTCTTACAAAGCATCACACTTTCGCATCAGATTCCCTTTAAGTATACAAGAATAATATTTACTCTTACTTTAGCTATATTGTGTTTTCACCACTTTTGTTTAAGTATAATAAAATAAAAAACATTTTGTTAGTATAATTTTTGTCTCTGTTTTCAATATATATAATATATATATATATATATATATATATATATATAGAGAGAGAGAGAAAAAGGGGGAAGGATTTTTTATTATAGTGTAAGATTGAGAAATTTTACTTTTTCATCTTACCTATTGATTTCCTTCCATGTAAGAATTGTAATTTATGTGATTTTAATAATTAATTAATTGATATAACTCAATAAATTATCGTCGTTAAATGGATGAAATCAGATAAAAAATGAGATCTTTTACGCAAAGTCAAAATTTTGTTTATGTATATATGCATATATATTTAGGAGGAGGTTATATTTACGATCTCTTTTCGTTTATAACCTCCTATAATCAAATCTTAATCGTTGATTTCTGTCATTCTAACTATTATATTTTATTGGATCATATTTATTAATTAATTATTAATTTCCAACAAATTATATTAATTAAATTGATAAAAATTAACGATTAAGATTTAATTGTAAAAGATTATAAATATAACATTTTTCATTTATTTATATGAAAAAAAACTATTTTCATGTTATATGAAGTAAATTTTTCTTCTTCTACATTCTTCAATAACATAGCAACATTTCTTTTTATTTTTATTTTTTAGGTGATGGGCCCCACACTATATGTATATGACATAACATTCTTTTCTCTTATGTAAGATAAGACTAGATAAACCCTATTTATATAGGCAACATGTGTTTTTTTTCCTTAGTTATATGCGGAAATATATGAAGAATAACGAAAACTAAAAAATACACAAACAAAATGGACATTTTGACATTGTTTTACAAAAAAAAAAAAAGGCGAAAAAGAAAAGGAAAAACTTACCCGTGGACATGTGAGAAGAGATAGAGGTCCAAAGGAAGTCCTGGTTCTGGTTGTAATTCCCCGAGCAATCTAGGCTAGTGTTATACCCTCCTTTACAAACACATACAAATCCATTTCCCGGAGGAGCATAACCGCACAACCCACCGCTATACTCACAACTATTACATTTGGTGGTCGCATAGTTGGTATCGAAAGCACCATAAGAGTACTTCAACGCCACTCCATAGACCCAGCGTGTAGGGTCAATGGGGTTATCCCCAAGCGACATCACTGAAGCATAAGCACCACACTTCATTTCACTCAGGTCCAACTCCCCCTTGCCGTCGAGGTTCGCCGGCGAGTAAACACAACACGTGTTGGTAGGAGGGAACAGAGACAAGCCAAGTGCCTCCACAGCAGGACACGTGTAAATGGAAGCACATAGATAATCCAAGGAAAGGTCACAGATGGGTGAGCCTCTGATGGAGAGGGATGAGGTTGGGGGTTTACAAGAGAGAAGGATGAAGGTTGAGGAACTGATTTGGAAAGGGGTGGTCCAGTCAAGGCCCAAGTTGGGTGAGGTTTGCATGATGGTGCATGTGGACATGGAGTGTGGTGTGAGTGTGAGTGTTGAAGTTGTGTAGGATATGGAGGTTATAGGGTATGAACCTGTGTGAGTTTTGAGGAAGAGTTGGTCACCTGTGCCGTTTGATTTGCATGTTATGTAAGGGTTGAAGAGTGGGGACCCACACCCAGGGCCTGTTCCGAAGGGGTACTTGACCTGTAATGAGCCACATGTGTGGCTGCATGATGTTGATGATGTTTGTGGATATGTCAATATGAGAATGAGGACAAGGTTGAGGAGGACAAGAGAAGGAAGAGGAGGTGGTGCCATTGGCTTCCCTGGTTTGATTTTGATCTCTCTCTATTTCTCTTTGAGGACTATGGTTTGTGGGTGGAAAGAATATATGCCTTTGGGAGCTTCACGCGTGTATGTGTTGAGGGTAAATAATTGTTGAAAACCATTTTCTTTTTTTAAGCACCCTATTATATTTTCTTGTTTAGGGGAAAACAGTATAATATGTTAAGTCTTATGGAATATAACGTAAAATAATTTAAAGTATAGCTTTTTTTTGTTGGTAAACAAAAGTATAGTTTTAATATAAAAAGGTATTGATGTTTATTTTTTAATTTGAATCACATCAAATCAATATCATTTTTCTTTATTTACTTATTTTTTTTTACCTAAATTTCTATAATATGAAAATATTATTATTAACGTTACAAAAAATAATCGAGTAATGCTGTTTATAAAAAAAAAGATGAAACTCATTTTGATTCGTAAGTTGTTTTTCGTATTAGATAATATTCCTCTGTAATAGAATAATTCTTTTAATATATGTTATTTGAAATTCAGGTTTTAATCATTGAAAATAAAATTTTAATGCAAGTGTCATTTTTTGAATGGGAGGCGCGTACGGATGGCAATGAAAATGCGTTCGTTCATTGACCAAGATTAGTTATTTCCTTGATTGACCAAGAAGACAGAAGTCGAATAAAATTTCTTTATTTTTTTCAAGTAAAAATATAAGTTTCCGACCTGCCGGATTCGAACCAGCGACCTAAGGATATCAGCAAGGGGAACCCAACTACAGTCCTCCGCTCTACCAACTGAGCTAAGGTCGGCTTGTTGACTATTGTTACCAATTATTTTTGATAGACCGTATTTAAAAAGATTCAAAATTTCTGTAATTAATTTATATAAAAAATTATAATTACCACACGTAAATAATTTGCATTTTTTATTTAAAATACGTAAATTGTTTACTCTAATAAAGGATAAATAATTTTCAATTAAGGGATCAAATTAGAAATGTCATTAGAGTTTTTGTTTTATTTTTATTCACACTGCTCCCTAAATTAATAACCTTAATTAAAAAATAAAACAATAATTAATTAATGACAATCAAATTTGAAATTAAATAGTTTACAACTGAAAAGAAATAATTAAAATGAATTATTTTTACCTATTATCTCCGCGTAATTAAATGTTCAAGATAAAGGTGTTGTTGTCGATGATGATGATCTCCACCGTAAAATTAGATTGAGTAAAGTATTTTTTGTGTCCCCAACAAAAATCACGAAATCAATTTAATTATTTAAAAAAAGAGTTAAATTTGTGATCTTTTTGAAATTCAAAATAGACTCGTGTTAGTCTTTTAAGTTTTGAGAGACTAACGTAAGTCTTCTTTGAATTTCAGATAGACTATAAGTTCAACTAATTATGTCTATTTTGAATTTCAGAAGGACTACAAGTTGATTTTTTTTAAGGGATTAAAATGATTTCTGTAATTTTTGTTGAGGATTCAAAAGATATTTTATTCAATTAAAATTTTGTCTTTTGGGCCCGGTCCCTCCTTATTACAAAACAGAAAAAAAAAATTAATCTCTTTTATTAAGGATTTAAAACAAAGAGGTAGGATATTGTAATAACTAATTAGTGTTACTACCAATCAATTTTACAGTTATATCGATTATGTGGATCCAACGATTATATTTATTTTCATTTTTGTATGATTATATTTTTCCATATTTAATGTGAAAATATTAAATATGCGAAATCATAACCATAAAAAAGTGAAAATAAATATAAAGTATTAAATATGCAGAATCGTAACCATATAAAGATGGAAATAAATATAACCGTTGGATAAACATAATCGATCTAACGGTGAAATTGATTGGTAATAACATTGATAGTAACACAAATTGATTGTTACAATATCCTTCCGAACCTTCCCCCAAAACAAATGTATATAAATTTTTTTTAAGGAGAATTTATTAAAAAAAGAGGGAGATATTCTTACTACAAAAAAATTTACTACAAATATATTACTTATCTAATTACCATTGGATCAAAGGAAAAGAATATTGAAAAATTTATGAAAATAGAAAGAATGCTGATCTAACGATAATTAGATAGGTACTGGATTGATAGTAATTTTTTTTTTGTAATAATAATATCCTTCGTCTTAAAAAAGAAAGAGAGTGAATCCTCTCATGTGTTAATTAAAATGACCATATCATGTTGAGAAATCGTAACTATATAAAGGTAGATCAATGGTAATAAAGGAAGAGTGAGAAAAAACTGAAGATAGATAGATAATCATAACCGTTGATTCTCTTTTGTATAGTAAGAATTCTTACAATGATCATATTAATCAACACATTAAAAAAAGAGTAAATACCATGTTTAGTCCTCAACAAATTACACGAGGCCCGTTTTAGTCCCTAGCAAATAAAAAAGTCTATCGTAGTCCCTAAGAAATTCAAAATGGACCCATTTAGTTGAAATTGTGGTCCCTCACAAATTCAAAAAAGATCCATATTAGTCCTTAAAAGGACTAAAATGGGTCCATTTTGAATTTTTTAGGGATCACGATGGACCTTTTCATTTGTTAGGGACTAAAGCGGGCATCATAAAATTTGCTTGAAGACTAAAAATAATATTTAGTCTTAAAAAAAATGTTTGAATCAGCAGCATTTTTAAACTTTGGGGATGGACAGTTAGACTTAGACAGATACATTTTACTGTTACGATTTTAAACCACAATAAATCGGACGGCGAGAAGCATCCGAAGGCAGAAAGTATTAGGGTCTGAACTGAACCACCAATTGGCGAAGAGAGAGAACACAACACAATACAGTAGCCTCATCTTCCAACTCGAAACCACGCTCTACTCAGTGTTTTGTGTCTCCTTGCCCTTCCCCCTTTCTCTGCTAAGTGCTAACAGACTCAGAGAGAGTTAAGCGAAGCGGCTAAGGTTAAAAAGGGAACCTCAATCTCTACCGTCTACAGGTTTTGCTTTCTATTCCAATCTTTTCGAATCTGCTAATTGTCTCGCTTGTTCTTTTAATCACCTGGCTGCTTAGATAAGACTCGAACATTATCGTTTCTGCTTATTATTATTATTATTATTATTATTACTGTGTTTGAAATTATAATGCTTTTGCTTATAGTATGAGTTTTTCCTCGTTTCTTTGGTTTCTGGTATATGAAATTTAAATAGCTTGTAATTCATTCGTAGCTGCACTTGGTAATTCCATTGTGTTTTCCTTTGCTGCTCTGCCAATTTTTTTTGTTGTTTCTACTTTGAACTGCCAAACTCTTCTTTTTGTATATTTCAGAGGTTATACTCATTGTTTAACTTTGTATAATATGTATCTGGGAATCAGTATGGATTTGTTTGTGGTTTATTCTCGATACATCTTTTTTGTGTTTGTAACCATTAAGAAATAAGCTTGTTTTGATTTAGAAATTATTATAAAATATAGGATTTGAATTTTTTTGCAAATCGATTTCTATGTTTCTTTTATTTAATAATTATACTGTATTACCCTTCTTATGATATGTAAAATAGTAAACTAATAAGGTAAAGTTGTCAATTCAAACAATTAAAATTAAGATTAAATTAAATCGATTTGATTGGAATTCTACGTGTACACGATTAAAATCAAAACAATTTCAAAATTAAGTTGATTCCTATTTTATAACTTTCCAGTATACTCTCGTGTTCATTGCTCTTGTTGTTCAGTCAAGCAAGCTTGTATCGTGTTTAAATGATTTTCTCTTTCCAATTTTTATTGTATCTTTCACGTGGTAGCAGCTTCTTGAGCTGTAATATGATGAACTTTCAATTCCTTTTTGTTATGGTGCTCCTTATTTTGATCACTTTGTACAAGGGTTGGGGGTTGTGCTGTGATTTAACCTAGTATGTAGTTAAAGTTGGCATCTACATGGATATGACACTGGTATGGCACAGGGATACATCATTTCTTAAAAAATTAGGATACAGCCTACAGGTACGGTACGGCACGGCAAGATAGAACATAACATATATATCAAATACTATTCAAAATTACACATCATCTTAATAAATATTGAAAAATATATAAAACCATCCTTATTATCATGAACAAAAAATAGAAGATGGGTCATTCCATAATTAAGGGGGAATTTTTTTTCTAGCATCAGTAATTGTGGACCCTATATAAGACTAGCATTTTCGAAATCTTATGACATTCCCATGTATTGACACAAAATAACAAACCAAAAATTATAGGTTGTAGGCAAGTAGTATCTGATGGTGTTCGAACTTCGAAGAGTATCCGATTTCGGTTCATATCAGACACCAGTACTGCAAACGTTTTAAATTTTATGTTCAACCTTTCCTGGCATATACTCGACACACAATACTCGAAAGTTTAGAGGACTGGCAGGGTGACACCCGTTGATAAACCTAGTATCTGGTAATGGCTTGAGAATAGATATTCTTCATTAGTGTATATTCCTTCCTATTGGACTCCTCCCCCTTTCAACTTGAGGGTTTTATGGTAAATTTAGTTTTAGGGTTATTGGTCCATAGTATTTCTTGTCCATTGAGATTGTCTACATCTTGTGCTATGAATGCAAGAAAAGATTATCTTTTGGAATGGACCTGATATTGATCAATAACAGTGAATAGCTGGAGATAATAAATCTAGAAGGACTGATTCAAATTCTGTAGGTACACTACCTCTTAATGGTATCAAAAAGTTTAATTATATATTTCAAACTTATGTCCACAATTTGTGAAATCTCATGCTCCAAAAGGTTTTTCATTGTTTCTAGGATTTTTCTTTTTCACAAGTCTTACTTCCAGCTCATTGTATCATGTGGCAGCTTGAACTATCTTTCTCCTCCTCAAGTTGCATACTATATCTATTTTCTTCCTTTAGTTGTTTGCTTCTGTTTAGATTGTCTTTTACCATGTTATATTTCAGTATATAATTTTTGCAGCTAGCAGAAGTTCATCAACAAAGGTCATATCAATTATCGTATATTAGATGGCCATAACACCTTTTGGTAGTACATCTGCTGCACAATGGGGAATTCGTCCTCAGCTATTACTAAGATCCAGCATGACAGGCAAGGTTGCATCATCTAGCCACAAGTAAGTTCTATGACTAAATATTTGTTTTGTAGAATGGAAGTCGTGAAGGGGAGTACTGTTAATATCAGTTTCTAAGGCACAAATTTATTTAACAATAAATTCGAGGTTTGAAGCTCCTATAATCCTATTCATGATTCTTCGTGAAGGGGAGTACTTGTATCACACCATGAGAAAGAGATAAATTACTTTAAATGTTGTTTTCTCTATCATCATGGGGAAGAAAAGGGATATAAATATATAATCATAAAAATTGGGTGTAATTTGTAATTTTATTACTTTGATTGTCATTGATAGTAGTTTTACTGCGTGGATATGGTATATACTTCGCATAAACTAGTGAATGTTTCCTATCCTGAATGTCATAAAAAATTAATCTACTTCAACATTCCATTCAGTATATAAACTCAAAATTTTCAGCTTAGATCATTGTGCTGGAGAGTGTAATTTCTTAAAGTTGCCTCTGTTGCAGTGTTACAAGCAGGGTAAGCTTTATGGTTGCCCCAAGTTCAAGCTTTTTGTCTGGGGATTCCTTCCATACACTATTAAATGTGGGTTCGTCTCAAACTTTGCACCGTCGCAAGGGATCAAGGTTGATTGTTAGAGCAGATACAGTAAGTTTGAAATGCACTTCTCAGCAACAATGAGATCCTATTGGGCTTTTTATATGATTGTACTCTATGAAAGCATTAGTCTTAGTTAAATTGTATAATCGTCATGAACTATTCAATATATTATGCTGAACATCCTTTATTTGTCAATGTGCAGGATTATTATTCTGTCCTTGGGGTTTCAAGAAATTCTAGTAAATCTGAAATTAAGAGTGGTATTTCTATTTGTTCCCATCCTTATCTGACTACATGATCATATCTCCGTTATTATAAATTGATATGTTCAAATGCAGTGTGTTGTTCAAATGCCATCTCTATGTAAAGCAAAATCAATTATCGCAGTAGGCTTCAGTTCCTTAACTATTTATTGATTGCCCACCATTTTATAACTCTTTCTGCTTCCTTTGACCTTGAGAACATAAAATACTTTTAATCAAAAAGGTACACCTAAAATATATGTGAATCTGATGGGCCTGAAAGAGAGGGAGTTAGTTAGTTTGTTAGGTGATTCTTCCAGAATATTCTTACAGGAGGGGATAAAAGGAGAGGGAATTTGTGGAGTGAGGAAAGCATGAATTAAGCATTTTGGTGAGTGGGGAATTGCGGATCTCTTGAAGCCTAGGTCTATTGGTTCTAAGGGTGACCTAGGGAGGGTCTTTTAGTGTCTTGTTCTGCAGTTGGTGTTTGTAAAAGAGGGTATGCCTCCATTGGTTCAATAAATTCAGTGTTGTCAATCTGGGTTTCATCATAAGCATACGAGAGAAGGTCCATAAAGGAAATCCAAAGCATAAAACTGTGAAAGAAGTCTGCCATAACCTAAAAAGGGAACTAGAGTAATGAGCTTGAGGGATAATGTTATAAAATTTCGATTTTTATTGTGTTGAGAGTGTTTCTGGGCTAGGCTTGCACTAATTATTTTACATGTCCTAGAATATTATAATAAATAGAAATGTTAGGCAAGTGTTTATCAACACAAAATCACATTCCTATTAGTGAAATATATCTCTCTTTTCTCCTTTCCATTGAATACCGAAATCTCAGCAATTGTGATTGGGATATTGTTATTAATCAGAATCTGCATACTATTTTCTCGGTTGTGCATATTGTTTGCTGCTTAGTGGCCTGATATCATATCTCATTGCAATCTTAAATCTCTCTATCTTTGACATTTCAGCTTATCGGAAGCTTGCCCGGAATTATCATCCGGATGTGAACAAGTGAGTTATTTTTCAATTTGATATATTGTATTGTCTTCTTCCTAATTCATTCCTTTCCCTTGTTCCCTCCCTCTATTTCTTTTCTTTCCTTTTCTTTTTTCTTGTCACTATTGCTGTGGCCAATGTGGTTCGGCTATATCCAGTTGTAATGTTTGTAGCTTGTCTCTTTTAAAAAACTGTTAATTTTGTATAAGCAATAATCCCTGTCTTGTGAATTTTGTTCTTGTCACATTTTGAGCATTATTTGATAATGCATTCTCTATGAACTGCTTTCTCTGCTCGTCATTGTTTCTGAATAATACATTTTATTCCAAAATATAAAGGTTGTTCAGTTATTGTAATTTGCATATATAGAGGTTTACTAGCAAAGAAAACGGTGGGGTTTGATCAAAGTGCCTAGCGGAAGGGGACCTGATTTTAGTTAACCAAAAATGCCAATTGAATTTAGCTTCATAATTTTGCTAGTAGCATAATTTTTTGGTGTCATCTTAATTGTTTGAAAAATGTTGCTTATTGTTGAACACTTCAACTATTGTGTGTATTCACTTGCACTGCAGAGAACCTGATGCAGAAAAGAAATTTAAGGAAATCAGCAATGCATATGAGGTAAAACTAGAGACGTTTGACCTCAGCAATGCATATAATACCTGTCTTGTGTAATTAAATTTATTTTGCAGGTCTTATCAGATGATGAGAAACGATCCATATATGACAGATTTGGAGAGGCTGGACTTAAAGGTTCTGGAATGGGCATGGGAGTAAGTTAGCTCTGATAATGATGCATAGTTTTATTTTGTAATCACACATTCTTGTTTCTTAAAGATGGATTATCTCTGTTATGTCAGGATTTCAGCAATCCTTTTGATCTATTTGAGTCACTGTTTGAGGGGATGAATCGTGGTGCAAGTTCAAGAGGTTCTTGGAATGGAGCAGTTGAGGGTGAAGATGAGTATTACAGTCTTGTTTTGAACTTTAAAGAAGCAGTTTTTGGTGTAGAAAAAGAGATAGAAATAAGGCGATTAGAGAGCTGTGGAACTTGCAATGGTTCAGGTGCTAAACCAGGGACTACACCATCCAGATGTAGCACTTGTGGAGGTCAAGGTCGGGTTGTCACATCAACAAGAACTCCGTTAGGCATCTTCCAGCAGTCAATGACGTGCTCTTCATGCAATGGGACTGGGGAAATTTCAACACCTTGTAATACATGTTCTGGGGATGGTCGAGTGAGGAAGACGAAGCGGATAAGTCTGAAGGTCCCAGCTGGAGTGGACTCTGGTAGTCGTTTAAGGGTAAAAAATGAAGGAAATGCTGGAAGGCGAGGGGGTCCTCCTGGCGACCTCTTTGTTGTTATTGAGGTTATCCCAGATCCTGTCCTCAAACGAGATGACACCAACATTTTATACACATGCAAGGTTTCTTACATTGATGCAATCTTAGGGACTACAATTAAGGTTCCTACTGTAGACGGAATGGTAGATTTGAAAATTCCAGCTGGGACCCAACCGAACACAACACTTGTTATGGCTAAGAAAGGTGTTCCCCTGCTGAATAAAAACAATATGAGAGGTGATCAATTGGTTCGTGTGCAGGTTGAAATCCCTAAAAGACTGAGCAGTGATGAGAGAAAGCTTATTGAGGAACTTGCTGATTTAAGCAAAGGCAAGACTGCCACCGGTCGGAGATAATATTTTGTGGGAACCTGTGTCTCTATCTATGTATTTCTACCCTCGCAAGTATTCTCCTTTCATGGATGCATCGTTCTTGATTACACACTTAAGAAGAACTCAGCAGCTATTGAACTCTGAGAGGGGTGAAAAATGTGTTGATATATGTTAGTTTATTTGTCCTTTGAAACACAGGCGGAGAGAACGCAGAAGAAAGTTGAGATCTTTTTCTTCACTGGAACTTATACGCTTCTTGTAATTTATTTTTGGGATGGGGTGATATTGAATTATACTTTAGGTTCAATGCTATTTCAATTTCCATAAATGTGGTCGTTTAAGACAAAACCTGATTATTATTATGTACACAATTATCATACAGAAACATTATTTTTTCCTTGTTACTGGATTTGGACGCCCCAATTATATTTTGATGTTAGTTCAGGCATTTGGAAGTTGAGGACGGGTAGAAATGATGTGGGAGACCCTTGACCGAAGGTGGCAACTTTTTTAGCTGTGTTGGAACAGGTCTGGTTCGATACATGTTAGCATGGGGCCGTTATGGACTGGATTAACATTTAAACTTGAATACATTATCGGATAAAATAAAGGGTTTTATTAGTGTTATGTAACATAATGTAAGTGTTGTTTTCAACTCTCACATCAAAAGGGAGAGAGAAAGTGGAATGATGAAAGAGAAAGAAAAACACGTGGACCCACCTCTTTAATGTGTGCGTAGGAAAGTGAAGTTATATTATGTTAAATGATAAACATAAATCCCTAAAATAAAATGTTGAAATTGGGAGAATTAGTGTAAAGGCCCGATCGTTCTTGTATTATTATAACTAGCTTTGTGCAGTTGTTAGTTAATATGCTAATATGGAGGTCAATAAACTACCTTCAAAATTTATGCCTATATATGGTAATTGCCAACGCCGGTGAACCGTAGCTTACTAGCTTTAATAGAGTGAGAAGGAAATTGATCAAACTTTGTCTGCATCCCTCGTGATTAGACATCTTCAGGGGTGTCAATTGGTGTTTATAAGTCGTAAATATTTATATTTTAGCTCAAATATAGTTACTTTCTAAAGGATGTTTTTAATTATTAATGTGAAACTAGATTGTTTAATTACTATAACTCAAGCGACATGAGATCTTTTAAGAGGCTACTTGATCCTAAGATTGAAATTCTCCTAGAAGTCGTTTTGCTCCACATTAGTCTACCCTCTCCTCAAATCATATCTTAAATTTGTTAGGTTAAAAAACCTTTTCTCTAGATCAACATAAACGTTCAGATGATTTCATAAAATAAATTTAGTAAAAAATTAAATTAAAAATATAAAAATAAAGGTACTTTTTATTAATCAAGTGCATATCATATTTACGCAGTAAAGAATCTAGTCTTTCTCTAGGTTACTCGGGTCATTGGCTCAATTAAATTGCAAATACTTGTCTCGATTTACTTTTTGTTTTTTATTTTTTTCAAAACGAAAACAATAATCATTTGCTCAAAAAAGATAAAAAGTCTTCATATTGCTTTAGCAGGGTTCGAACCTTACACCTTTACAACGAGAACAGCGTGACTTAATTTTGAGACAAGCAAGCATATAACTACTGTAAAGATCAATCATGTAACATCTGTTAACGACTATGGCACTCTTGCCCCTGCAAATAGAAAGCAAAACAAGCACGAAGTCTGACTGACTGAGCCATCCAAAAATTTGAGGTTACTCAACCAAACCGCTTAAGATATTGGCGGCTTCCTGGCCCTGCTTCCTCATTTCTGTTGTTTGTATTTGCTATGCTTTGGTAGTGTTCCGATTCCAACAAAAAAGTTGAGCTCGACTCTTCCTCCATTCCACAGATATAGTACGTTTTCTTTCTTTCCCCGTTTCTATTGAGTAAATATATAATCAGTATATTACATAAACAACTAATTACACACACAAGGATAGTGATTGTCATGGAGGAGTGTGACTAACTTACACCTCCTCGGATTGATTGTTTGTGTTGGTATTTAAGTCCCACATGGGCTAGATTATGACAAAAAACATTGTATTTAAATCCTCTGACAGGCAAGTCAGTATACCGAGTTGAGTAGCGCCAACTTGTAACCCATGTGGGGGCAATAAGATGATGGGACAGGGTTATGGATACACTGGGTTGGGTGAGATGCTGCATTGTGCTGGCCTGCCCACTCCAAGTTGAGAGTTGGGCTACGGGCCCTGAGCGAAGGCTCAGGTCTCTTGGCTCCTAAACCGGAGGGCATAGCGTGAGGCTGGTTTCACAGAGCAGCGATCACTTCCGGCTCCTGACAGTGGAGGGATTACAGGCTGCTGCTCATCTGATCCATAGCGCCTGGTGAGCCTAGCCCTTTGAACCATCATTTTTATATTTTTTACTATTGCTTCTCTTCTTGGCTTCTTGCACTATGTATAATTTCCATAGAATAATTTACTTACGTGTCACTATTTACTTACGTGGCTTCTTGGCTTCTTTCCCACAAGTTGTTTGAGTGGATTGCTGCACCCAGCGAAAGGAAAGATTGACAATGATTGAGTTCATTTGCACAAAAAGGATCATAAGACTTCAAATTGGACTAGCATGGTTCGAAACTTAACTTCGAACATGAACAACATATATGACCAGATCAGTAGCTGCAAGCCTCTGACCAGTCCCAGAGAACAGTGAAAAGAACGAAAATCAAAATGTCCAATACTTAACAAAAAAGCGTATTGGGGTGAGAGAGGCTCGAACTCTCGACCTCAGGATAACTCAGAAGCTATGAGACCTACGCGCTAGCCAACTGCGCCACCACCCCAACTTGTGTAGCCTATACTGATAAAGTTCTATAAATATAGAAAGTATGTGGCCTGTTGAATCAATTTTTTTTTTTGTCTCTGCTGTAACAAATATATCACTGGAAAAATGAAAAACTTGTATTAAATACTTCAACTTACTGACTAAAAGTTAGTCTTTCCAGATATAACCGTTTTCTCCTTGCTAAAATGTGTTTGCATCTTTCTTTGATCCTTTCTATGTTGTTAAGTTTCTTACTCTATATATAATTTTAATTTAATTGTGAAAAACTAAGAATTAAAATTCAAACTATTTTATTAAAGAAATCCCAATATTGTTGAATAATTAATTTAAAGCTTCCAACAACTTAGTACAGGTTTCAAATTTCTCTTTTATTTTCAACTAACTATTCTTCCCATACTACTGTTTGTCAAAAACTTTTCATCTATACATTGATATATGCTACAAATATAGAGAATTTGGTCGAGAGTTTAATAAAAAGAACACCATTCAATACATTGAAAACTTATATTTTTAAATTCTTAACATATCATCTGCCTTAAATTATTCGATCATTTAAACTATTCAAAAAAAAAATTTCTACGTGCATGTTGATTTGTATGGTCCTGACGTTGTACACTGCACAGTTAATGAGATATTAGGATACTTTCAAGGGGAAAATGCGAAACACAGAGATTACAAAACTGTCATAGATAGTGATATGAAAACTTTTACGCCCCAGTGACCAAGGACAATAGTAGCTCGGTATTATAAAAGTTGAACAAAAGCCAAAGCCGAAGGTTAATTCAGACCTTAAGACAACTTAATCCATAGATGAATCACAAGAACCGTTTGATGTCATCTCCCTTTTTTGGATGTGAGGATTGAGAGCTTGCATTGCGATATAACATGACAAAATACAAACAAGATATAGATTATCATCTTTATTACATCTTCCAATGAATTGTTTTCACATTATTTCTTACATGTATTGTATACATCGGCTGTCAATGAATATATAAAAACATGTTAAAAAAAAAAAAAACAAGATCTTAACCTTGTGATAATTGGTAAACATCAAATATTCAACCCATTTTCCTGATAGAAACCATTTTTAGGGAAGCTGAAATAGCAACATTTCCAAGACAAGAAAATCTCCTATTTAGCAGCTACTTCATTTTGAAGTAGTAATTCCAAATCTTTCAATCTGCATGATGGTTCACACAAATTGTCATTAATGCATTATACCTTATGTTACTCAAGTCTAAACTAAGAAAACCTAATACATTCAATTGTCAGCAATGCATTATACCTTATGTTACTCAAGTCAGGGTAGATTGCTATGGCCTCTTTGAAGTCCTACATTAGATCCAAAATAGAATCCAGGTACGTCATTATGCAGCCAGTTAAATGGATAGTAATCTCCCTTCAAGTTCAATATCAAATCGTTTAGTATTTTATTGTCAAATTCATTCCAAGGGTAACAGTTCACCTGGTCAGCCGTGGAAGATGTGTAGGTAACCACACATGACATCCCTGCTTTTGTTGCTGCCTGTAGATTCAAATGATTGTTTGGACATTTTTGTTGGTTAAATAACATGATTAAATGCGATTTGGCCAAATAAGAAACACACTGAAGATCTGTAATTTGAATTTCCATATTCTTAAGCTTAACTATTAATATTGTTATATCAATTAACACATCAAGACAATACATTGCCCTTAAATTTCTAACCCAAGCTCATATAGTCAGTTTTCTTTTCTCTTATTTTATTTTTTTGTACATATTGAGATTGGTTAAATCTTAAGGGTACGCATAGAGGATTTATAACCCGAGAAGATCTACCTGTAACCCAATAACACTATCTTCTACCACCAAGCAGTCTTTCTCTGACACACCCAGCGTCTGCAAGTCACAACATGAAAATTATGCTCAGTCTGTTGGTGCATAAAAGAAACCTTAAAATATAATGTTTCTATGTTCTTGATCGTATTGTCATATTAAAACCTTGGAAGCTGTCAGATATATTGACGGGTCAGGCTTCTTTTCCTTCACATCATCACCTGAAAGTTTGAATAAAATGGATAGAAAAATTAAACTTGAGTACCCAAAGTATTGCCAAATCAAAAATAAAAATAAAAATCAAACAAGTAGAGCGGATTTTATCAACAAGGAAACCCCTTTTTTGCACATGTATAAATGGACTAAAGTTATGACTTAACACTCTGCAAAAGCTTAGCATGACTTATGAGTTATGACTAAGTTATCCAATTTTCTTATAGGATGGAAAAATAAACTCTCCAGGTAAAAATGCACAAAGTCTTAGACTGCAAATTAATTTTGAGTTTTTTGATGCCTCTGGGCATGGCAGCATGGTATAAGACAATAACTTTTGGTCCACAAATCTTAAGCAGGAAACATAAGTCTCAATGACCAATAAAAAGATATACGAGTGATGTGAATATACCAGCAAGAAAGCAATCAAGGCCTTGAAAGCGCTCCTACAACAGAAAAAATAAGTTGGTTGAATGCAAATTAATAACTAAATTTCTACTTCCAATAGTGAGAATATATAAGAAAATGGGCTTACGATTCCTATAAGGTTTTCAAGACAGAGAATAACTGAACTTTTAGTTGCAGCAGAGCAAACAGCTAGCTTTTTCCCCTGAAACAGCAATTGGGGAAAAAATAACAAACCTATAAGCAGATATCTCTGATTAACAAAGTAATGAGTTTGAACTAAAATCAAAATAGCTCATATTGAAGACATCCCAAAAGTCAGAAGTAAGTTAGACTTCAAGTAATGAAATTGAAACAAGAGATCACTAGAGTGGTAGAATATATATAAATGGTATACAATGTTATCTTACAGCATCTTTGGCCTCATCCATCAATCTCAAAACTCCAGGTCTGGGTTTTACCTGTGTCAAAACGTACAAGTATTTAACAGTAGCTTATCAACAAGACATAAACCATCTTCACAGTTTAAGAATGTGGAATATTAGGATAGGAAACATATAGAAGTCTACTTACAGTTCCAGACTTAATTATATCTTTGTATCTCTCAGTCTTCCAATCCTATATGACCAAGATAGAGAAAATGCAATGACAGCATATTTTAAGTTAGATGAAAATTGAAAGGGTCATCACAGGTTAAAAATCAAAACATGTTATTCATGCATACAGCATAAGCATACAAAGCAATGGAACATTCATGCGTGCATAAAGGTCTCTCAAAATAGTTGAGAAGGATCAGGAAACTTTTCTCAATAGTAATGTCTAGCTAGTGAAGCTCCTAAGTACTAAGTACTAACTACTAAGTGAAACTTGCTATATAAAGTAACCATTTCTGATGGTGGCCAAACAGAGACAAGTGAAAGTAAGAAAACATAAACACCTGAATTATGTCAATTAACTTGGCACGATCCTCATCACTACTTGGAGTTGTTTCAAATAAAGTGGATGAAGGCCACCCGTGCTCCTTAAAGTACCTTAATAATCCCAAAACGGAACAACCCAATAATAAAAACACATCACTTAATGAGTAAACAAGAACAAAAATAAAAACTTTTTGTAACTTAGAAGGGAAAGAGAAAACCATCGCATTTTGGGTTTGCCTCCACCAATGCGGTTTTGGAGTTCATCATAGAAGTGGATGCCCCAGTTGAGTGGTTGGGCAGAAGAAGAAGTACAACGAACATTGAAATGAGCAAACGCATCGTTGTAGGCCTGACGATGCAAGTGTTCGGACTCAAGGATAACACCGTCACAGTCAAATATGAGAGCTTGAAGCGAAGAAGAAGAAGAAGAGACTGAGAAGACACGGTGCTTGGAGGAGGATAAGTTTATACTGGGATATCGAAACCCATGTTTGGTTAGGATAGTGTTGGTGTGGGGAAGATAGGAATAGGAGGAGGTGGAGAGACTTAGAGTGAGAGAGAGAGAAGATGCCAATGCCATGTTCATCATATCACCATTAACCATTCAAAAACTCCATCACTTTAGTGATCACTCTCTCTATTTTGTGTGGTTGTACATTGCCATTGCCATTGGCCCCTCCTTTCCCTTGTAAATTCTTCACACATCACCCTTCTTATTATGTACCTTAATTTTTGTAAAGGAGGAAATTAGATAGCAAGAAAACTAAATCTAAAAAAGTTTTATAGTTCTTTTACACTCGTTCTTGTTATTTATTTATTTATATTTAATTATTCACATAATTAAAACATCAGAGCCTGAGATATAAATGAAAATTAAATTATTAGTTGATTTTTGCATCTAATATGTTAACTTATTAGTGAATGAATCATTGAATATAAAATAAATAATTACAAAAACAAATGAATGAATAAATAAATAAATTATATTATTACAATGTGGAAAAAGAAAATAATCAAAGATGTAAAATATTTTTACAAGCTAATAAAAGAAGTAAAGATTAAAAAAAATTAAAAATTTCAATTTTTGAGAATAAAATGTAAAGAGAAAAAAAATTAAATTATAAGATTCATAAATTTGACTTGCTTGAAATTCCTAAATATTATTCTCTAATTTTTTTTTCTAAATATTCGTAAAATACATTAATTAAGTAAAGGGATTATTAATGTTTGTCCAATAAATAGAATGTAATTTTATCTCATTTATACACCTATAAGAGAGTAGGGCTAATAGAGTGAGAGAGAAAAAACAGTAGAATTTATCCACTTTGATGTATACAAAATAAAATTATTTATTGCTTGCAAGAGAAATACGTCAAAAGCACTTAATTATCCAAGAAGTTATTTTAAGTTAATTAATGAACTAAGAAAGGAAGGAAAATGTAATTTCTTTCTTTGATTTTTAAAAAATTATTTGACTTGTGTACCAAAAGATTTTTTTTATTCGAATTAATTAGCCAATAAATGTTTTGAAAAAGTCAAAAGTTGAATTAGACATAATACAGCCTACGAAGTACCGACACTTCAAAAATCCTGACGTGTCGTGTCCGACACTTCCCGACACTCTCGGACACTCCGACACTCCCCGACACTCCAACACGCGTTATAGAAATTCAAAAAAAAGTTCAAAGGTTGCGTTGTGTTGAATTTTTAGTTTCAACTATTAGATTCGTTGACTTACGATTACCATTTTATTGATTTTAATATAAATATTTGAGATATCTTATGTTTCTTTGCAAAACTTATGAATATTATAAGTTTATATTACATTTTGTTAAATTATTAAATATTAAATATAATATACAATATATAAATTAACAATATTATTTAATATCAAAACGTGTCCTAACGTGTCGAAATCTAACATTTTTTAGAATTAACGTGTCGGAGTGTCGTGTCGTATCGTGTCACGTGTCTCGTGTCGGTATCGGTGCTACATAGAATACAGCTAACCAGTAGCACCCAAAAAAATACATGACTCTACGTGCCGCTAAAGGAGTAATTAATTTTAGTGAATTTTGGTAATACAATACTAAATTTATTTTTAAAATCAAGAAAAAGATAGGAAAATAATTTTCTCATGTTGCATGAGACAAGTTGTCTCATGCAACACATAAAAAAGTGAGTGGGACCCACTAGAAAGAAGAGAGAGAAAAGAAAAAAGTGGATCCTACTCACTTTTTTGTGTGTTGCAACATGAGACAAATATATCCCAAAAAGATAAGAGGTAAATCATACTATTCCTGGACAGAGGAAGGAAAATTAGTTAGCTTCTTATCTACGGTAACTCTGCAGGTGGATAAATTTAAGGATGATTATATTTATAAATTTTTATAAATTATATTTTGTACGGTAGAGAATATATTGTTAAGTAAGCATACTCTCTTGAATACATAATATAATTTATAAATAAGAAATGATGAATGTTATACCTACAATTTTTTTTTTATAATCTCTTACAACTATATCTTAACACCGTTGATTTCTGCCAATCAATAAATATTATTTATTGTGAATTAATAATTAATTAATGAGTTTAATGTGCGAAAATAATAATCATTGATTGGCGAAAATCAATGGTATTAAAATATGATGGTAAGAGGTTGTAAAAAAAAAAAAATTATATGTATAATCTCCCTCGTAAAAAAGATTAATTGTTATTTTCTCACTGTAATAACTTTAGGAAGGTGCTATGCTACATTGCTATTACCATCCAATAATTCACGTTGGTTAGATTATGTTCAAAATTTTAACTTTGACAGTTAAGAAAATCCCTACTCAAAACAAATGGAACAGAATTTTCATGCTAATGACACAACAAAAATAGATTTATCATATGCTTATCATTCGACGAAAATCATGATCCATAATTTAATCCTAGTTAAAAAAGTTCAGACAAACAGTCGCTTTATTCTTTTGGGCGTATGGAAGTATGAAGATTTCCAACTGAACATGTCTTGTACATTATATTCAAAAACTCTCGTCACAAATTCATACATCAAAACATTAATTATTTATCCTTACTTCACAGCCTATTACCTCAAATTTCCATTCTTGATCGTAGGGATAATGTCTTTCAGTAAACACTTTTCAAGATCTTTACCTACTTCCTCATCAACTTTCTTCTCCATTATCCTCGCCTTGCAATCATCAAAGTAAATCACGCACGACACCCATTTCAGTGTATTTACCACAGTGAGGAGCCCAATTTGTAGAAAAATTCCATTCCCTCCTTTGTAGCATCCAAGGGAGACACAGGACAACCTTAAACAAAGTCCTAAAGCAAAGAAAACAAACATCAAAAGGAGTCCCCTCTGTTGATTTCCTCTGCTGAAGAAATATGAAAGCCTTAACGCCCCAACTCCATATATACCATCCAGAACTGCTATTACAATACTCATATTCCAAATTGCACTCCATTCCAAATACATCATCAATAGCTTTGCAAAAGCTAGAGAGAAAATTGCTGCAAAAAATATGTAACACCCAAAACTCTTGTAGAAAGTATAACAGTTAATTAGGATAAATAGAAATGCAACCAGGAAACAAGTTGACCAGAAGAGAATGTACAAAGCAGGAATAAATGTGCCTTTAATTATTGAAATGTCAATGGATTTTTGAAACATCTGCTTGAGACTCATGTTATTCTCTTCTGAGCGCAGCTTTGAAGCCAAATCCATAGTTACAACTGCAGAACAGATTTCTAGGACATGAAGTGGCACCGAGTAAATGAATCCAAGTTGAATCAAAACAGGCAAATAATCCTTACTAAATCTTCTAAAAGGGCTATTTCCTTCATAAATTGTATAGCCATAATGTGTTTGGTAAGAAGGGAGAACTGAGATAATTTCTGGGGTATGAACCATAGTTTTCTGGAACAAAATTTCGAAGTAAACCATGACACAAAAGAAAGGAAGAGAAGTGAGAAAGGTGAAGATGATGAAGTTGATGTTTGTTACATAGATCGTTACAGCTTCTTTGAGGATATCCAAGACCTCCATCTTCTGCTTAACTTGTTCGCTTTCACTCTCCATGTCTGCACTTCCAACTCTATTACCAAGCTAGCTAGTTCTAATTGAATCCCTGATGCTCAATGCAGATTCTCATTATAAATAGAATTTTTCTCTTGATTCTACTTTCCAGGAAATACACCGTTCGGAGAAGACTTTGACTTCAGCACTAGTGGTGGTTATCTATTTTATAACATGAAATAAGAGATTATTAATTAAAGCAGCTCTTTTTCAACGCCTATGCCAGTCATGCTTTTTTTTTTTTTTTAATTAAAGTGACTAGTTTGATTTGAAATATGACCCTAAACTTTTTTTTTACTTTGACTTCAGATTAGTGCTCTGTGAACGGCTCTACGATTAGGTTAGAAGTTTTGTTTATGAGTATATTTAAAAAAAATGATGACATGAAAAAAAAAATAGCGTAAATTAAATGTGTTGCAGTATATAGGAAAATATGTGGAAAATATTAAAATGCATTATCATATGTTTTTGATACGTAAATCATATATCAACTAATGAAAATTATATCAATATTTGTTAGTTTAGTAAAATATAATACATACATTGTACCCGAAAACATTATATTTATTACTTTTTTTCTTACCACTAAATCGTATTCGTTGATTTTCACTAATCTAACGGTTATAATTTATTAAAAATTATTAATTAATTAACAAAGATGGAAATTGTGATATACTTATCAAAGATATCGGAAGGAGGCAATCAATCTTTCAAGACGGTCCTACAATAGAGAAAATGAGTTGGTTAATTAAAAATTAGTATACCACAATCTCAACAACACTATCTACAACAAACGGCTAGCCTTTTTTTTTTGGTAAATAAACGGCAGCTTTTTACCAGCGACATCAATTGCACAAAAAAACTCAAATTATTCAATTAGAATTTAACATAGATTAATATTATGTTTTACTGTTTAGATTCGTAAAATCTGCACATAGTATGAAAAGACATAACAATCAATTTTAATTGACCCATCTAATCAATCCGAAAAGTATGGCAGAAAAATTTAAATATTATCATTTAAATAAAACTTATAAAAATAAAGTATTTTTAACTTATTTGTAAATGTATAACAACCAATCACATCCAAAGTAATAACGCTTAAAAGAGGCCATGATGGAGCTAGGTCACATCTCATTTTGTATCAACGCATGGTATAAAATAGCTAACAGTTATACCATAAAATTTGAAAGACAATAACCAATTTTTTGCGTTTAACTCATTTTATCAGGTAGTGAAATATTTTTAAATTTTTATGACCAATAACCGATAAATATTTAACAATTTATCCTTAATATTAGTAAAGTTAAATGCCACCATCGCAATTTGGCATGGGCGTGGCAGAAAGCACTGACTTCCATTAAACTAAATATACAAAACTTCATTCACGCAAACTTGTTGAGGCACGGCATGACAAACGACTTTGTTTTGAAGTCCCTTTCTTCACCCAGAAATCAAAGAAGAGTGCAAGTAGCAAATTACTGTATTGAACCCTCACACCCACCTCGAAGATTTAATTTAATATCACGCGAACAGATACAACAATTGATCTAAGCCAAATGGCCGAGAGACGCTCGAACTGTGGAAGCTGGGAATCCTTATTTT